TATATATATATATATATATATATATATATATCATTTCTACTTTATATTCTCTTAGTTAATGACATTCTCCACCTTGTTACGTTGTATTGGCCTTATTTGACTATATCAAGGCACTCATTATCAGTCAATATTGCAAAATCAGATTTTCCTAAACATTTGTAAATATTGTTAAACTCCTTTCATATGAATTGAATATGTTGCTTTCCCCATCCATTGTATGTTTATCTAGGAGCACCAAAGCATTAACATATACTTCCATAAGTTACATTATCGGAAATGCTCATTTGGCTGGTAAGCATCAAACTTAAGCGACTATTGTAAGTTGCAAACTCAAAGTAATGCAAGTTATTTTTTGGGGCTTTAAGGTTATTTGAAGTACTTATATTTACTACACATTCAACAAAGATTTGGGGTGAATTTCTTGACTGATTCGCTTCGAAGTAGCATTTACGCTGTGAGGATTTCGATTATCTTGCTGCTATTTAATCTGAAAACTTCTATCAAAGAAATGAATTGTGTATAGGTAGAGCGTGCATGCATATGAACACTTGATTTTTGTCTTTTGTAGGTTTGCATATATACTATTTCTCATTTATAGAGTGACAAAATACAGGGAACGAATTTATGGTAAAAAATCACAGATACTGAAAACTTTATTCATAGGTTGAATTGAAAGTCAATGCCATTGACATTGTTCCAAATAGAAGGTTACGAATGCACATAACATTTATGATTTATGAAATTTGAGTTTAATTGTTATTATAAACTTTGACTAATGCTATTTGGATCATTAATCAAAGATATTGGAAATCTGTTTGGTTGATGATCACACAATTATGGAATTCAATGGGTTTTGATCTCTACTTCTTTATGTCGTGTGATGGAAACAAACAGTGTTGATTCTGATTTGAATGCTCAAATTCTCAAGTACATTGAAAATAAAACCAACAATTGAAGTAATGCCGTTTGATCCATGGAATAGAAAATTAAGGGTCCATTTGGGGCTGCTGCTGCTTTTTGTAAAGCTGTTATGTGAAAAATAACTTCTTAGAAAGTTATCGTGGAAATTATAAATATTTTCTTTTTACAAAATCAGCCATCAACTTTCTTACAACTACCATATTTTAATAAATCAGATTAAAAATGCAACTATCTACTTCAAAAATTTATAGAAAGAAACAAACAAAAAAAAAAGTTTCCTTACAGTCTGTAGTGTCAGTTTGAAATGCTACGTAGGCAAAAAAGCTGCTCCAAAAATACTCTAACACTCTTTTTATACATGATTGTTCATTTATATATATTTTTGTCTGAAATAGATGTTCTACCATCCTTGTATTCTTACATGCATCTTTTCCCACGTAAGTTTTTAAAATTAAACTTTAGTTGTTTTTTTTTACTAAGGCGGTGATTATTGTGAGGAGAGTATGTTCTGGGCTAACTGTCATTTATCACAAAAACTTAGTGGGACTAAGTCATCTTTAATACATACATATATTAATGAATGCATTGACTTTTTCGTGTTTAACTTGTAAACAAATATAAGTTTGTCATTCAAGTTAGCAGAACATGAAAAATTTGCTGAACTCATTTTAAATATTTAGATGAAGTTGAGCTGCTTTGTTCTTATCAAGAATATCTATCTGGTTTACTGCTATTAACTTCAGGTATGTTCGAGATGGTTGACACAACAGAAACAAAGTGAAACAAATCGGATGTTTCTCTGATGCTAATTAAATGCGTCAATAAATTTGCCGCTGTTTTGCATTTTTCGTTGCGCGCAGAGTGCAGATTCAATTTATATCTTAAATGTCCTTTCTCCCTTAATAAACAATGAAAACTCAAGAAAAAAATTATGGGCTTTCAATTTTCTTGTTTTACTTTTAAGGACCAACAAAAAGCTAAGATATTAAAACCATGAACTTGCATGAAATTTAGGTGTAATATTTGAAGAAGCAAAATGGAGCATGAGAAATTTGTTACCGGTAAAAATTAAATGTGAGCTTTGAGAAGTTGATTTAGACAAACCAAACTTATTAATAGTGCAGTGGTAAACAAATGTATATCCAGTTGTTTTAACAGCTGCTTATTAGTATTTGCGAGTTAATGCATCACATATTTTTCCTTATTGTATAGTAGTAACAACGCTAATACCTTTTTTGCAGATATATAAAGCTCAAAAAAATGTCATTTTATGTGTTTCAGTATGTCTCCTTTATTGGTACAGTTCTCTTCCCATTTGTAAAGGCTTCTTTTAATATCTGGAAAAAATTTAATGGCTTTAATACTCTTTTTTCATTTTGTTTTTCAACCATGATATTGCAGGTGCATGCATCAGATTTGCAAATATCATAAGGAAATTAAGCAACTAGAAGAAGTTGAGAAGAGAGCCAAGCACCATTAACTTCAACCATGGAGGTTGCATTTACTATTTTCTCGTTTTTGTTCTTTATTTGAATATTTAATCATGCATTCCTGTACATCAGCCTTGGAATAAACTATGATTTAATGTGATCATAAGTAATTAACAGGGGTGGACTTAGGTAGAGTCCAGGGGGGCAATTGTCCCCCCTAAAATTTAGATTTTTATTTATATGGGAGGGCAAATCACCTTTTGCCCTTTCTAAAATATCAGTTTAAAAACAAAATTACATTTTTGTTCTAACTTACACATTTGCTTTATACTTTGTGCTTGGTGTGTCAGTGATGATGAAGCAACACCGATCAGGCAAAATAAGAACTCTTTTTTCATTTTGTCTAGAACATTCCCCCCCCCCTATAATTTAAATTTTTATTTATATGGAAGGACAATTTGGTCTTTTGCCTCTTCTAAAGTATCAAATTTGCCTCTATTGAAATATCACTTTTCCCTTCGTGTCCTGGCCCCTCCCACGTTGAGTCTAGGTGGACACTTGGCCTACCCTAAAAAAAGAGGTTGGTTTCGTCCTGGTAATTACATTGGTTGGAAATGATACATTTATCTTCCTATCTTCCTATTTCTTTTGGGCATTTCTAATTCTAACGTAGGTCTAAGAGGAAAAGTTACAAAGTCATGGATTTCCATATGGCAAAAGAATATCATTTATTCGTAATGATTAGCATCTCGATGTACTTTTTTCACCAACTTCCTTGTTTAGGTTCTCATTCTATCATGTAGCTTTGGTCTGTGAAACAGTATATCCCAATAACATGGGATATGACGAAAGAATTTTGGCTTAATTTTTTAGATAAATTATAAAAGTTATGACTAAGTGAAATTATTTTGTGTTACAGAGAAAAAAATCGAAAATTGAAAAATCTTAAGAATTTCGAAATGTAATTTTTTTATTAAAAAGACAGGGATATAACAATTTATTATTGAGGAAACTGAAATAAAAAGAAAGGAAAAAAAAACTAAAATTGAGAAACTAAACAAAGCCTAACACATTTGTCAGAAATAAAATAACACCAATAAAAATACCTAATATCCAATCCATAAGAGAATCTACAATTGCAACATATGATGAGTTTACAAGGAAAACTTAACTGATAACTCCTATTAAGTTTGAACTCACAAAGAATGTGATATGCAATACGAACACAATAAGATGTCACAATTTTTAAAGCATGGTATATTACCATTTATAATAATTTCCGATCAATTTTATTTAGCAAGGACTAATAGAAATGACAACTATTAAAATGATAATCAATTATGCATTAGAGTCCATACAATGTTAAAAATGATGATCAACACAATTAAATGCAAAAATAACAAGGAACATTCTTGCCGTAAATGTGAAAATGGTTAACAAAGTCCCATCGTTTATGAAATACTTATCAATCGCTCATAATACCTCTAATATAAAGGAAGGTCATCACAAACGTCTAGAAATCTATTGATCCCCCTCAAAAGAATCCTCACTCTATATTATGGCATCAACTAGGTTGTCGAGTAGGATATCAATCAAATGAGTGTAATAATGAATGATTAATCCAATGCTCCAACATAAATTTTAGTTTATGTAAATGTTATATGCCATGAAAGAGAGATTATAATTGAGATTGCCATTGATCAACATGAGCAAGATTCAATCTTTTAACATCAAAGGTGTTATGCAAATAAAAACAAGGTATGCCATCACATAGTCTTTTCATGAGTATTGGATTCATGCGATATTCGTCAAATTGATTAGAGTTGTACATCATACACCATTAACAACATGAGCAAGGACTAATCACATATAAATTTAACATAATCACCATTTTATTTAATATAGGTGAAACATATGATAATTGCCAAGAAAATTAATTCTATTAAGGATACACTTATCCCTTAACAAATAAAAATTATCCACTTGAAATAGTATTACTAGAAATTAATGCTCTTCTGGGAACCAAATAATTAAGACACATTGAAGAATAACTCAAAAACTCCAAAAAGAACTTTAAATATCCACATATATACACGTCTTAAATTATGATAGTCAGCTAATTAAGCTTGTATATATAGAAATAAGGAAAGTAAACTCGTTCATTCCCCAAATCCATGACTTTAGCAATAATCATCTCAGCTTAAACAATTTTTTGTTTGAGAAACCCAAATTAAACTCATTTTAAGAAAGAAAGAAAAAACTTATAATTAGCTTAACATGCAATTGAATCCATAATCAAAATTACAGGATTTACCCACATATTTGACTTAAGCAATTTCAATCAACTTATTAAAATACCTAACTACTTGATTAAATGGTAAGAAGATGACAGAGTTTGATATTGATTTAATAAAGGAGAACACGAGGACAAGGGCCTATGCAACAACGCTCAACAAGAATGGGGATTGACTTCAACAACTATAATGTAGAAGAGTGGCAACAATGAGAGTGGTTATAACAAAAACAAGTTGTAGAAGTAAAACAAAGATAAGTAGAAGATTGGTATAAACATTAATGCTTCAAGGTGGAACTCTCCTTGCCATTTCGAGCAAGCTCATTTTTCGTTGTTAATAACAAGTTTTTTAAGAATTATTTGATGCATTAAAAACATAAAGATTCAGGACTTCAATATTTCGAACTAGAAAGCATGAGCTGGATGGCTTTTTTGGGAGAGTTGAGATGGTTCTTTAGCATGTCATTCTCTACAAAGTAGGGTCCTCCGTTCTTTGTGAAATTGACATGTATTTTTTTATGGACTCTGGATGTTCACCATGGCCTAGAGGTATTTCTTGGAGTTTCCAGTCATTTTCATTGGTACGCCCTTTTTTCATCCAATAGTTGTACTAAATGTCGCCTTTTTGATAGAACATCTATTCTTCATTTTTGGATGGGCCTATAACAAAAGTCCTCTACTTTTAAATTTTTATGGTTTCCATAGTTGACCCTCGTTAGTTGGGTGTTTCTACAATATAGTTCTTGTTTAGCTTATATAAAGGGAGAATCTTTCCACACATTGTTTTAAATCCACAACATTATATTTCATCTTCAGATTGTAGCAGTAATTTGGCTTTAGTAATAAAATTTTCATTACATAACACTATGCAATGATGGATATGATACTTAGTATGGTGGTTGAGAATTTTGTGATACGCTTTAGAACCAATCAGTAAGCAATCAACAATGAAACGACAATAAATAGATGAGAACAATTCAAATAAGGGCTGCTCTTACAAAACACAAATGAAAACAAGCAAGATACAATGGTGATCTACTTTTCGAGAGGTAGATTGGCTCTATTACAACCCTAGACGTCGCTAGAAACACCTTAAGAAGAAGAAAAACACAACCAACAAAACATGTATAAAAAAATAAATCCTAGGTTATTCTTCTTAATTGAATCCTCCCACAACATTTCAAACTTTCTTTCCAAACTTTCCTTCAAAACTTTTTTAATTTCTCCTCCTTGAATATATGATTATGGCCCTATGGACCCCACTTGTTCCATGCCTTCCTCTGCCACTGCCCTTAACCGCCTTGCCTTGTTTGCGACAAACAACGGCCTGCCTGTTGCTGTGGCGGGCTGGTTGGGTTGCTTTTGACTGGTTCGGGAGGGGTCGGCTCGTCCCTGGGCGTAATACTACTTCCCTTCCAAAAAACTACATTGCCCTCAAGGTTGAAGGATATAAATTGCTTGTGGATCGCCATGTAAGGCCTCATGTTGCTTCATAGTTTTGCAGCTCTTTCCATTTAACCAATACCTTCTTTGTTCCCCTTACTCCTCGGACACTACTTTGATGTCAGCAGCTCCAGAATCACCCCCATGTCCTTTGTTAGCGTCGGTGGTAGTATAGGCGAGGTGTATGATCTTCAATTGCATGTCTCAGTTATGATACATGGAAGACCGGTTGTAGTGCGAACGATGGTGGTAACCTCAAACGGTAAACCACTGCCCCGATGCATGCAATCGCCTCAAAAGGTCCAAAGTATAGCGGTGAAAGTTTCTCGCTTCTCCTGACCAATGTCTTATGTCGGTAGGATCTCAGCTTCAAGTGGATCATGTCCCTTGCCTCAAACTGCACCTCTCTTCTACGTTCATCCGCTTTCGCTTCATGATTTGTTGAGCTCTCAGTAAATGTCTCTTGAGCACTGCTAGTATCCTGTCTCTCTCCTCCAAGTACTGATTGACGCTAAATACCGGTGTAGTACTATGTCCATAATGTATCAAGTGTGATGGATCCCACCCATATAATATCTTGAAAGGGGCGGTCTATGCTACGGTGTGGTATGGCATATTATATCAATATTCAACCCACGCAATTCAGGGTTTAAACAAGCCGAACACGAGCGAGCCTAGGCTCAACTCGTCTTCTACTCGTTAAAAAATACCAATGTTTGTGTTCGGTTTGTTTATATTTCGAACAAAAGAAAATGTTCGTGTTCGGCTCTTTTGCTTAGTCTGTTGAACATGAGTTGTTCGCGAACAAAGAGTAATTTTAACAAACCTAGTCACACATTCGCAGGATGCTAAGGGTTGGGGTGAGATTTTAATCTTATTGTTTTAATTAAAACAGCATTTAAATATAATTTAATATATTTTTATTTTATTTTTTTGATTAATAATTTTAATTGGTCATGAATCTTTATATCCTCGTAGACTAATTAATTTTTTAAAAATATTATTCATCAATTACACACATAATTTAAAATTTCGAGGCAAAACAAGCCAAACACGAATGAACTGATTTTTGTTCATGTTTGGCTCATTTATATAGAGAGCACAAAAAAATTGTTCGTGTTTGTTTCGTTAACTTAACGAATCAATCAAGCACGAGCTTCTTAACGAGCCAAACACGAACTATTAGCGAACGAGCCATTTTGATTGTCTTATAGGCAATCCACTTGGCCCATCGTTCGCCATTTTGATTGTCTTATAGGCAATCCACTTGGCCCATTGTTTCGGCGTATCGAATGAAAAACAACTCGGGTATGTCTCCATACTTCTAT